CGACCTATCCTTTGAAAAGGTCTAAAGAAATCCTGGCCTTTATCAGGAGTAAGAGACCCCAGGAAAGGAATCTCTCTATTTCTAGTTATGGAAAGTAACAGCTAGCACATTTTACTGCTGGCAAGGTCAGTTCTCTACACAGTTTGTACACAGAGGCATACTTAGTAAGAATTCTGATGACATGACTATTAAGCTGGTATGTGTGGTTTTACTTGGATCAACTCCTCTGCTTCCAGCCTTGTTCTGTGGTTGAAGCTCCTGGTAGAGTAAGTGAGCTACAGTGCACCACAGAAATAACCTTCTATAGTAGATTTGGGTGGTTAGGATGTGTGGTGAAGAATACACTACTCAGACACTACTCTGAACTTCTTATTAAAATGATGTTGGACTTATTTTTTATATTAATGAGAAAAGGGATTTAGCTACATTTTTCTAGGTAGAATTAAATATTTTCATCAACTCATTTAGTTTTATATTTTATAAAGTGACAACTGAATAAATGAACCAAAATGGAGGGGACATGTTTGTATATTATTATTTAAACAACACAGTTTGCCAAAATGATAACTTGGCACCAAAGACTATTGGTGTCATATATCCAGAGGCCTTGTTGTTGTAGCAGTGTCAGGCCACAATCTGGCTTAGCTTGGTTATCTATTCATATGACAGCATCTTACTATAACTTAAGAGATACATTGTGACCTTTATTTGTAAGGTGAGAAGACTGAGGCTTGGAAGAGGTGAAAAGACTTGCCCGAGGTTAGAGTTTTTAAATGCCAGGGTCCAAATCACATCTTCTCACTCAATGTCCAGATCACTTTCCAATATACCACAGTGAAATACAACAACAATCCAGAAAAAATAATCCTTAAGATTCTTTCTTCATTTGCACATTATGTTCATGCTCATCTTTTCTCTGATTTTAAGTGTCCTTCATTTCTAGGTGTTATTATGAAGTCCCTCAACTGAATGTCATCACACATTTTAATGCTTTCGGTCATAACTCAAAATGAACTTCAGGTACCTTTCTAAGAAGAGAGGAATGCTCTGGGCCCACTGTATATACCAAATTAACATACAGTCTGCTTTTTACTTAACTATCTTTCCATAGATTCTCTTAGTTGTGTGGGGAAATCCACACACCAGTTATGTTACTCAGCATGTACTAGAGCTCCTGGAGAGGAACATGGTTCCAGAGCAGTGCTCTTCACAGTTTTAATAGTGCCTCTTTATTAAAGGTAGACAATGCTTTGAGGAAAGCGGATTCAATTAACAAGTGCCTACTATGTGTGCAGTCCTTTGTAGACACAAAATGCTATGTCAAGAACTGTTCTACAAATAGTCTTCAAGAAAGGAAAGAAATGAAACATGGATGAACTGTACATAAAAACTTAAGAAAACAATGCAAGTGCCTGGTGCAGCTGAAGAGAGGTTAGGTGAAGCCATTAAGAACCTGGACTATTTCAGGGACTAGACATTTCTCCACATACAGTTCTGAGGCAGGTACATATAATCACATATAAGGAAACACCTAAGGATACTGGGACAGATACATAAAGGAGACACCTTAAATTATATGTCTCCAACCCCCCAAAAGTACATCACAGCTGAGCAGAAATGATGAGGAAGCAGCTAATTCTAAGATTACATTAGTAAGGAGAACTAAGGTATTGTAACCAGATTTTGTGCAACTACCGTGAGAAGAGCTATTATTTAATGTGCAAAAGCAAGCCCCAAACTTGCATTCAGATGTTCACCTTCTAATTATTATTTTCTCATTATGCTACTCTGTCACTCTGAGGCAATTAAGGCTCTTCAGACAGTTAACACAGTGATGGAATGCATACAGACATTTCATGCTTTCTCCTACTACAGTAGAGACTTTGATGGTCCAAGGATGTTTTTAAGAAACATCTCCAGAAAATACTTGTTAGTCTGAGTGCCGTCAGGACAGGCTGAGGAGTTAATTATGTCTAAGTGGAGACCACCATCTATCTAGCCATTCCAGAATCGTCTTAGAAAACAGCAAGGGTGAAGTCAATTCTTATTCACTACATAAAAATGAAGTCAGTGCTATCAGCAAAATAAAATGTCTTCTGAATTATGTCTCAGATGGTAATTAGATAAAATCTCAAAGAATCTTGATATTTCACTGGCAAGTTTCAAGGGACTCTGGAGCCCAATTAAATTCATCAAAAGGTTCAGTGAAAATCTGTTCTTCACTCAAATGAATTATGTAAATGGGAACCAAAGCTACTTGATGTGCACTGTGAAGAAAACGCCATTTAGAGAAAAGTAAAATATGAGTGTAAATATTTATATCAGAATTAACGATAATTAGCATTAAACATTTACAGAGTAATTAATTACTACTATATACTGGTGTTCTAAACCATTTACATATATTATCTCATATACATAAAAATGTGGTATAGACAATTGTCTTTATTTATAAAAAAGGACACCTATGGCTTAGAAAGTTAAGCAATTTGCCTACAGTCACAAGCAGATTGGATTCAAGGAAATGCTTATTGAGGTTGCAAAGAGCTTTGTGAATGTGGTTATTGTAGGGAACAGGTTGCTGTTGCAGAATACTATTTTTTTTTTTTTTTTTTTTTTTGGTTTTTCAAGACAGGGTTTTCCTGTGTGGCTTTGGGGCCTATCCTGGCACTCACTTTGTAGACCAGGCTGGCCTTGAATTCACAGAGATCCGCCTGCCTCTGCCTCCAGTGTGCTGGGATTGAAGGCATGCCTCACCAACACCCGGCCAGAATACTCTTCAGAATGACAAGAAGCAGCTGTAAGGGAGCAACATGGATACTTAAAGTAGACCTCTATGCTTTTAAGCAGGCACATATATGAGGTCAAAGAATACAGAAATTTTAAAATTTGTGTGAAAAAAATGTGTGGGCCAACTTCATTAAAATACAAATGACAATGAATAATCAGGAAAGGGTCACTTCATATAGAGGAAATCAAAGATTATGGAATATAATGTAATGAATGAAACATTGTGAGGAAAGGAGATATTGGAACGAAAGCCAAAACTTAAACCTAACATAGTAATTTCAACCTGAAATACACATAAGTGGGGTGACCTCCTCCCCATGGCAAAAGCACAACACACACCAATTCTTAGGTATGATTCCCACTTCTGAGTTATTTTAAGAGCATCTGTCATTACATTTTTGTCCACATGAGAACACCTCTATGGAATAGTGGAACCTTCACAGGAAATGAGTTACCTTATACAGAGAAAACTCAACTTCACATTAAAAACAGAGTAAGCAGGCAGGGACTCAGGTTCAGATGGTCCTACTATGTGTGTGCAGGATAATCTAGCAGGAAGGCTTATGATACGAGTGTGAAAACCTTTGTTCCCAGGTGACTTAGATATTTTTTCTGGTTAAAAAAACCAAACCAGCCAATCACCACCACCAACAAAAAAAGCCTAAACCTAACCCTAACAACAATCCCTTAAGGAAAAAAAAAAAGGTGTACACTGGAAAACTATTCTTGGTATAAATAGTGCTGTCAAATATAACAGTGTTATAAAAGAACTAAAAACATTTTTCTCTTTTTCATAGACATCACATTTGTATGTGCATAGGATATGACCTCTGAATACATTCCTGTGCTGATACACAGGAATGCTAAATTAACTTTCCCTTTACACTTCCTTATGGTTATAAAGTTCACAATCTAATAATGACTCTCTCTAGCTTTTATATTTTTATAAAACCAGAGAGATATTTTGATATTTATGTATTTTGGTATATTCTGAGTGCTAAACGGATAAGATTCAACTGATTTTTAAATACCTAGGCAATCTAGATAAAAGACCAAAATATGTGTTTCTTTTCATAGCTGTCTCCATTATAGACCACACATGATACACTGATATATATATAATTAATTTAATATCTCATACACAGAACTGAAACTGATGTCTGATAGCAATACAACGAAGAAAGGAGAGATTACGTTTCACTACTTCTCTTAGAAGGCATGTTCCTAAAAATGTCTAAAGACAGATGATCCCACAAATCATATCTAATCCTTACATTTCTCCCCTTCCCTTAATACATTTCTTTTTAATGAGTGAGGCAAGAAGAAAATGAACAAGAAAGGCACAACACTGAGGGACTAGCTTTGTTGTTCTGATAATGCTAATAATTTTTGATATGGACTAAGTAGGACCATTCTCTGTCCATGCAGGGCAAGTTTGGTAAGCTTGTAGTTTCTATCAAAATAATCACTTTTCCTAGCACGTCAGCAGACACAAACTCTCCAAGGAAAGATACACAGGCTTTTATATTCTCAGGAGAGAGAGACAGATGGTTAAGCTTTAAACATGGCTCCTAGAGAGGGAGGAATATGGCCAAGAGACAAACACCTAGAAGGAACCAAAATGACAGCTCAGCACAGTGACTGAAAGATGCTTTAGTGACTGAAATCCCACAGTAACTCTAAGAGTACATCCCCAAATCTAGCCTTTTCTACACTTGACACTTGGTGAAATAAAAATCTTCCATGATTTTCAATATGATGAGTAGCCAGAGATGAGGTTTTCATTTTTATCTTTATGTTGGATCTTCTGGTTTTGGAAAAGTTACAAGTTTGTACTACTCAAAAGATGTTGCAATAAAGAACACTGAAGAGTAGATTATATGAGAAAACAAATTAAAAATAAGTCCCAATTATGCAAAATAACAAAGAGAAGTGATTATATCAAAGTCTGTTACTTAAAATTCATTTTGCTACCTATGGACATATATACATGGACATGCTTTCTAAAATGAAAACACAGGGTGGTAACAAGAACTCTCTGATGTCTCTGTAAGTCAACAATGCTAAGCAAATGCTGAGTGCTCAGACCTTGCTTAACAATGTTTAAAATCAAAGGGCAGTGATTTAGATCCTTATATTGTGAACTCTAGCCAGTGAAATACTTATAGTTTGGTTAAAATGAAATATCCAGATGACTGTAAAGGTCTCACCTGTATGGATAGCCGTGATACTTTGAACGGAATATTGAAAGTAGAAAACTGAAGAAGAAGACCACCAGGCCTAATCCCACGAGGCAAATTACTAGGAAAAGAGACAATGCTGTTAGGTTCGCAAAAATGCAAATATTGGTGCTTTTGAAATGCGCCCAATTTCAAAATACTTACATTGAAGAGTTCCAGCACATATAAGGACCACAAAGCAGATAACCCACAATATAACATACTCATTTTTTCCATTCTTTTCCATAAAAATGTACTATTTGGGGCATGAAAACAACAAAATTGACCAAGACTTGTGATTTTCTTCTTTTATGAAGTCCCAAAGGGACCATAACAGAACCAAATGTGACAAGCCACAAACACAATTATCAGTCCCCAGATGTTGAAGCACTGGCTATAACAACAGGAGCACATGACTCGGCAGATCCTTAAAAAAACAAAAACAAAAAACAAACAAACAAAAACAAAAAAACCCTCTTCTCAGATGCCCTGCAGTCTTCACACAGAAATGTAATTCTAGCTGTTGGTTTCATGATTGCCTCCATAGAGACCATGTTTGTAACAATAAGTCTTTACTCCATCCACCGGAGCCCTACCGCCACATGGGTGCTTTCTGCCAGGCCGCCGAAGTTCCGCCCGCCACCATGTTATGGTTCCAAGTAACACACAGAGATTTATATTAGGTACAAATGCTACTTGGCCAATCGACTAGGAATTCTTACATGCTAGCTCAGTCTTAATTATCATAATTCTATATATTTTATAAGATTTATCTTATTGGACTCCAACGGAAGCATCCTGTCTTCCCAGGCTCACATAGTGACTCCACAGAGAGGAGGAAGAGAGAAAGAATGAATTCCTTCTTGACTTTGCTTATATATGAGTCTTCCTGCTATGTCACTTCCTGCTTGGATCATTTCTATACTACATTTCCCAGAATCCTCCTTGACTCCTAGTCTCACCTATCTGCCTCATTGGCCAAACAGTACTTTATTTATCATCCAATAAGACAAACACATACACAGAAGCACTTCCCCCATCACTTGTTACTTAGAAACACCACATCTCAGCACACACAACGCTAGGAACAAAATCCTGTGCATGGGAAACTGTTCTTGATGAAAGCCAAGGAGGAGGAGACCACTCCAAAGCAGGTCACAGTGTCAGAGTGCTGCAGCTGTGCTCTTTATCACAGAGCAGGGACCACGTTCCTGCAGGCTTTCAACACTTCTGTAGTAGTACAATTGGACAGCAGGGTCTGTTAGTAATTAGGCATTTGTACTGGCCTGCCTCTGGAATTCTAACAGGACACACCCTCAGCTACAGCCACTAAGAGCACCACCTGTGCCTATTCACTATGTTCCCTTTTAAAAGGACTCTGCCTACCTCCCATCCGTCCCCAACTCTCCTGCTGCTCCTGTCCCAGAGGCCAGTCTCCCCCTCCTCTTTCCCCTTTTTACTATCCTTTTTTTTTTTCTTATAAATTACAACAGGGACATTGCTTTCTGAGTTTTCATTTTCTTCTATTATAATTGGGAATGGACGACTAATGAAATATATTAGTTCCCCTTTGTATATACATATATTTAAATAAGAGCCAATGATATTAGTAAAATTAAAACCTGCTTTTAAAGTTTAAAGTCTATTAGCCAATTAAATGTAGACATACTTAGAATAAAAATTAGTACTTAAATCTTTTCTATAGTGTTAGACATCAGTGTTACCTAAATACCAGTTATGAATAAAACATTTGTAAGGTAATTAATATACATTTGTTGGTCTGAGGGAGTATTAAGAGAGTGACATAACTAGATGAGAACATTAAGTGAGAAGAACACTGCCGTCAAACAGATCTCTGTTTCTACCGTGGGGAAGGGGCATGGAGGAAAGGTCTAACAGCAATCCTGAAATCAGGGTAGTGATGGCATGTGAGGTCACTGATGTGCTGGTGTCCATGCAGTTTTGTGAGGACCATCACCAGCTCTTTGCAGTAGAAACTATAAAACACCAGAAGCATTTAGTAGCACTTAGTCACAGCTTCTGCTGTGACAACACAGATCTGTTAGCTTCACATGAATACTACCAGAGAAAAAAGTAAAACACCTTTCAAAAAACTGTATAATCTCCTAGTATGACTCATATCAGACGAGGATATAGAGTATGTAAATTTATTACAACTTTCTCACTGAGCTTATTTTTATTTCATACCTTCTCCAATACAGTATTCTACTTTTTCTTTCACACTTTCTTATGGTACCATTTAGAAGAGGAGTAGAGCAACAGAGAACCAGGCTCCCAATCTGTGATCAAGCAAAGCTGATGGACTCACGTGACTCTGTGCAGTGAGAGCAAAATACTCTGTCTGGGGATAGGAATGGAACCTGTGAGACCCCAGCAGGGGTGGGAGATCTCAAATATTCAGAAGTCACCATGTCTCTTTTACACACTCATGATACTTGGAAGTGCAGAAAACAAATCTAGATTTTTATTTTAAATATTTTAATGACTTAATATTCTTTCAGGGACACACTTGTTTTTCATATCTAAATTTAGGTTTTAAAACAAGTTTTGGAATTGTACAATAAAATAGGCTGGTGTAAACTGTAGCTGTATTTGTTGAATGATTTGCTTTAGAAAGCCATGATGTGAAACTCTGATAAAGCTCTGTGGCAGGAAACCACCACTTCGGCCTTGGCATTTCTTCACAGCCTTCTCAGGCCAGCAGCACTCCTGATGCTCTGAAGCGTTTCATTTGCCTCAACATCCTTTAAGAGTTCAATTCTAACTACAATCCTTTGATAGGCAATAGTCCTGTCAAAGAATAAAAGTTAACTTGCTTAAACCTAAAACTCTGGCATCTCACAGGTTTGTAAATTGTTGAAAAGCAACAGAAGAGAGTCCCTGGACAGAGATCCCTGCCGTCTCTTAAATGTCAGTAACAGACATGGAGGGATTGGAAGGTAATCAAGTGCACAAGAGAGGTTCCCCCATCTGCACCAGCTTCGGTGAGATACCTGAGTCTCATGACATAAAAACACATTTCTGCCAATAAAACCTCTGAAGACTGACCATCTGTGGCATGCCAATGTTCCAGCAGAAACCGGCTGTAGCAGATATGGGCCAGAGCAGCCCCGACAGGGTAATGCCACCTCCCTCTCCTGTGCATGCAATTCACAGAAAGCACTCAAATGCCATTTGGGAAGATAGGTTTTCAAGTTCATTCTCACACACATCAAATAAAGATAAAAAGTAAAAGAAAATCTTAACTTCCTTCAACACAGACTAGGGCTATTCTGTTTCCCTTTTGAATTAAATAAACCCTAAGACTAAAATAAAACAACAAATACAGCAACATAAACTTACTTCTTCTTTTCCCAACATCCCCTTTGGAAGTTGCTGCTTCATTTAGAAGAACCATCCCCATGGTGATGGCAGCATCTACAGTAGTTGTCAAGGAAACCATAGACAGGTGCAAATAAAATCTGCTATTCTTTTTTTTCTGAATCTGAATATAATGTCCAGAACGGTTAAAGGATAAATGTGAACAGGTGAATGACAATCACTTCTTTGTATATTACAATTACCAATCTTGAAGTTTGCTTTAATATTTCACACTTTTGTAACACATTATTAATTATGTAGTTTTTAAAACAAGTTATAAAATTTCATATTTTACATAAAAATATATGCTACTTTTAGTTACAGTGATACACATTATTGGCAATTATAGAATATTAGAATGTATTCATCAGGGCTTCTTTTTAATTTTTCTCATTGTCATAGCATGTCTCTGCACATGTATGTATTCTTGAATTTTAAAAGTCTTACTTCACAGATTCTTTAAATGTTAGAGAAATACTTAGCTCAGGTAGCACACACCGTCAATTATCAGCATTATACAATCAAGCAAGCATATTATGATACAATCTGACCAATTGAGACAGACCTTGAACCAGTTACCTGACATTTTAAGAAGGAAAAGCAACCGTGCCGTTGATATGCATATTCACTGTCAACTTAACTAGGTTTAGGGTCACTAAGTACACAGAGCCCATGGCACACCTGTGGGTGTTTTCTGAGGTCCACTGGGCGAGAGAAGACTCACCCTGAATGTGGGCAATACCTTCCTATGATCTGGGATCCCAAACATGTAAAGGAAGGAAGCTAGCTGAGCAGCACATTCCCTGCTCTGCTTCCTGACTGCCCATGCAATGTGGCCACCTGTTTCATGCTCCTACTGCCATGCCTTCCTTCCTATGTGGACTGTATCCCCTCCAAAAGGGAATTTTCAGTTGCGGTCATCAGTTACTTCAGCACAGCAACAAGAAAGAGGACACTAGTCACCTACTTTACATCTGCTTACAACTGACTGTTGGACTCAGACCGTGCTCACAGATGCCAGGTTAACATTAAAGCAACGGGTCACTCAACCTCACAAAACAACCTTGCCATGGTATCAAAACACCTTCAATATCTACTGCTAAGATTTTAGAACTTAAACAATTCTGGAACTATATAGTATGTATCTGTTTAAAAAATTAGGGGAAAGTATATGAATTTTAGCTCAGAATTTCTTCCATTTCCTCAGTTATGACTTCCTTGTCTTCATTTCTCCTGTTGTGTATGTGAAAATAGCACCATCAAGTAACTCTCTTGATTCATCCCTAAATAGCAAAAGCACAAAGGGTACCACTTGGTTGTGTCTATACAATTCAATGGAGGAATTCAGAGAAAGTTAGATGGAGTATATATTCTCAGACTGAGTTACTTTACATAACAATAGTATTGAACTTAGCCAGTTTATTTTTTTTTATTTTTTTTATTTGAGTTTCTGCCAGGACTCATTGCTCAATGTCTGGATGATAATATCCAACTCTTCAAGTTATTCTTTTATGTTACAAGGACCTTTCTATATAAATGATTTTCAAACCATTCTAGTTATTATAGCACTGAAACATTTTCTGGAAACAAACTAGCAAACAATTTTTGTTAGAGGCTGAATGTTACCAGAGTTGTATCCCAAGCCCTGTGTAAGTGCTGCCTGTTCCACCTTACACAAACACACAGTACATGCTCCCTCCCACTCAGCTTACAAGGAAGCCTTAGCACAGAGGTGAGTCCACTTAAGTTTGAAGGTCACTGAATTCCTGAGTGTAGGTCACATAGCTCTGGTTTTGTTATGAGAACTGTCCTACAGAGTTAATGTGAGAATAAGTCTACAAACTTTAACAATTCATTGTTTTTAAAATGTTTTGGACAATCTCTCTGTAGGAATTCCTTTTAGTATGTTATCACAGAGTGCTAATAATACATAAGGGAAAAAATAATTAAAACATGTATCATTTCTGATCACATATGGGATTTCTAGTGTTTAGCTCTGCTTTTTGTTATAATTATTTAAAAAATACTCTTGTTACAATGAATGTTGTTGATTTTTAAAGGAGTTTTACTTCAACTTTAATCTTTTTCTATAACATTTATATTCATTTTTAAAATATAACCTACACATTATATATATAGAGTAAAAATAATTCATACAGAGTTCTGAAGAATTTTTTTATTTTTTTAAACTGTTTTAAGATTTTGTTTATTATTATGTATACAACATTCTGCTTCCATGTATATCTGCACACCAGAAGAGGGCACCAGATCTCATAACAGATGGTTGTGAGCTACCATGTGGTTGCTGGGAATTGAACTCAGGACCTCTGGAAGAGCAGTCAGTGCTCTTAACCTCTGAGCCATCTTTCCAGACCAGTTCTGAAGAATTTTAACGAAAATAAAATCTTTGTGAGTAGTAAAAATATAACTAAAATTTTTAGAATTCTGTAGTTCCATAGGTACTAAAACCAAAGCCAATATTCATTTCACAATTTTATCTGATAAACAGCTATCTCACATCTGTCAATGAATTGTGGATAAAGTGATACAAAATTAAGTCTTCAATATTAAGACCCCATCAATTTTAATGAAAATAAACCCATATGTAAAATAGTCTCAGGATCATATGATATATAGACAGGAACTCAAGTGTCCACTGTGTTTATGAACACACACAGATATAACACAGTGGAGAGTATATCTTAGTGGTATAAGGACACACATAAACCACAAACACACAGACTCTAATCTTGGTGGAGAGTGTAGTGTAAGGACCTGCAACCCTAGCATTTTGGAAGCTGAGTGGTCTCAAAGTAAAAGAGCAACAGCACTTGCCAACTATGTATAAGCCCTGGGTTCAGTCTTCAGTGTGAGAAAGAAAAAAAGACAGCATTCTAATTTGATAAGTTTCATTTTATTTTTACTGTGCTTCTAAGCCATTATTTTACACTGATGAACACTGAGCACTGCACTACTCCTTTGAAATGCTTTTGAATTTTTTACAAATTCAAAATATCCTGGTAGAAGCTTCTAAGATTTTTTTTTCTTAAGAGTATGAAATATTTTATTGCTTTGTCTTACTTAAGGTACTGGGGCTGTTCCACCACCACACTTGCCCTTACAAACACTGCTGTGAAGATTTATCTTACAGGCCTCTGTGTATGTATACACAATCTCCTGCACCCGTCTAAGTGCATCTCAGGCCAGGCATGTGTGCTTTGCAGCTTGTTAGATGAATGATCCTGTTCTGGAGCAAGACACCAGTCTACATTTTCCTTGCATTTCACAGAGCACCACTGCACTACTGAGTGAGCAAGCTCCTAAGTGAGAAGCAGTATTACCACTTGAGTCTGAATCATGCTTACTTATTGCTTCTCTCATTTTTCTTCTGTCCATTTAAGCATCTTTATTTTCCAATTGTAATATCTCCATTTTTTTTCTGAATACTAGCTGAATAAAGAATGATAACACAGATTCTCCTACTTTATGTCTCTAGCATTTATTTCTTCATGCAGAAGTTCTTACTTTTAATGTGGACAAACTAATGTTTTATCCATTTTCTGGCTTATGAAATGAGTATCTATCTCAAATATTAACTGCTCTTTTCTTCTCAGAGCTTTAAAAGTCAAGACACAGCACTGTCACGTCATGTCCCATCTCATTCTGAGTAAGTCACAGCCATCCGCCCCCCCCCCCCCCTCCCCCCCCCCCCCCGTTGTTCTTTTTCTTTTCCTTTGCAGTAATGGCAAGTCACATTACCCCCGCCTCAGAATTTTTGAACTTCTTATTCCCACTACCCACAATGCTTTTCTCTAAGACTTGGGGAATCCTTCCCTTGCTCTTGTCAGGCCTCTGCTCAAATGATCTTATAGAGGCTCCCCTGACTTTCCTTATTTTTATCTGCTTGTAATGTTACTTTTGAAAGAATTTTGACTCTCTCCCTTGCCTTGCATTCCCTACCACTGCAAAACTAGACCACAATGATCAGAAAAGAAAACTGTTGAGTATCTAACAGACCTTAATGAGGGTACTATTATTAGTTTGTATATAGGACAACTGAAGCTCATAGAGATTCTAAATAAGCCACCCAAAACACTCAAACTGTGTAAACTTAAAAGCATAAACAAAACAACAGAAAGATTTTGAAAAACGGGAAAATGGTGATAATGGGGTCAAGGCAAGAAAAGCAAACACAATCACCATAAAGATGAATGCTGAAAATCAACATAAGATGCTGAATAAAACATTATTTCCATAAACACAAAAATATATTTTACTATTCTGAAGCATTCATATTAGATTTTCTAGAAATTTGCAAATACTAAATTGCTGTCTGAAACACATACATTATGATCTGACATTATATGTTTATACCTCACATTGCTTTGAAATCAAATTCTCAAAATATTCTGTAGCTTTGGGAGTAACAGAGTAGTACAAAGTGACACAGTAGTAGAGTCAAACTACCTAAGAGTTCTATAATATAGATAATTCCTATTATCCAGGCAATACGGTACTAGAAACCTGTTTTAAAATTATCAGGTTTCAGCACGTCATAAATTCAGTGCTGAGTGCATACACCAGTAATAGATACTTAATATACATGTATTATTATAATATAAATTATAAAATGCCAGATCTCTTAATATACAAGTGACAAGGGCTTTGAAATGTCACAAGAATTTGGTCTCTAAATTCTTTTCTGGTTGAGGGGAAGCATGAGGCATGGACCACAGTGAGCAAGTTTATTCTGAGACAGCACCAGAGCTTCCACCACCTCACCTCCCAGATGCTAAAGATCATGACTGCATTAGAAGCACCTTCCACCTCTCCTGGATGGGTTCCCTTGGATTGTATAGACTATTGAGTCACCCAACAACCTGGGTTATTCTTGTTACCCTATCTAATTCTATTGATTAAATCTGTTCTTTGACAACTTCATATATGTACATTATCCACTGTTTACTCTCACCCCACCCTCTCTTATTCCTTACACGTTTCCTATATGCACATCTTTTTGTCTTGTTTTATATCCCATGTGATCATTTATGTGACCACAGATTTGGATCCCAGGGGGCACACAAATGAATACAAAGGTAGTCTGTCTCCAACAACCCATCAATAGCCAATAGTTCAGAAGGAAGAGAGAAGCTCAGTAGCACCTCCCTAATATATTAACTGACTCCAGCTTACTTCTTAACAAAACCACTGTAGCTGGACACGAGTCACAGCAGTTTTTCTGGGCATGACAACACACGTTTCCTAGCTGACATCCTCATCTGAGTTTGAGTAAAGTCTCCATTTTTCTCCTCACATTAGTTTTTTTTTTTTTTTAACTTGCCTTTAGGTTGACAAAATAAAAATACTTCAGGATAACTTGTAACATTGAGACACTAAAACCATAAATGTCACCTATAATATACAATACACTTATACATGGAAGACTAAGTAGTTGTATAAAATAAGGTAACACGTGTTTTTACTAATAAAGCATGATAATTTTGTCATGCTAAGTGAAAATAAAGTATTTGAGTACATAACCTTATCTCTTTCCATGCAAATTCAGAGAGATGAGGAGGAGGAGGAGAAACACAATAAAAAAAAAAAGGTAATTATTTCTATTCTTGGAGTGGTAAAGTTGTGGATTTTTATTTTCTTTACTGACTACAGGTTTTCTGTAAGGTATAAGATCTAAAGATGTTTATATTATTGGCTAGGAATCCCATATGATGTCTGTTGTTACTATTCATCTAGCTATTGCAATATAAAACATGGTCACACAAGTGTGGCTGTGTCCTAACAGAGCTTTATGCAAAGGACTAGCAGGTAGGGTAAATTTTGCTTAAACTTGTTCTGATGTGACACCAAAACAGTCATACACAATAGGAATTTAGGACCACTCTTTTTATTTGAAATTCAAGTGTATGTCTTAGTAAGTCCTTGTGTATACAACCACAGAAGAGAGGGAATCCTGGAGGGAAGACTAAAAGCAGGTTGTGAATAGCCCAAAGGTGAACTACAGTGTCAGCAGTCAGCTCAGCAAAGAGGCACAGCTGCCTCCTTGGGTTTCTTGTGAAACTTAATCTTCTGGGCTTTTAATAGAACAGAGCAGCCAGACTACTAAAATATGCTGGTTCTAGTGAAGAAAAATGGAATAACGGATGATTGGTATAGAACTCACCAAACTACATTCTCTCTACCAGAACACTTCCCTAAGGAATAAGGTGGCTCTCACCCTTTATCAGAGAAGCTGCTCTCTCTGTAGGTGGAGGTCACTGTAGGAAACAATTCCTACACAAAACCACAGCTCTCATCTTAAAGGGAATTAAAGGTAGTTCACTATGGAAACATTTTTGAGTGACAATGGCCTGGGAACACAGATTTAGGTTACCCACAATTCTCTTTTCCAGTGGGGAAGACATTTCATGGTTTTACAGAACAAAGAAAGTCATATCAAGGCAAGGTAAAAGCAAATAGTGGGCACATCACATTGACAGGGAAGCTTTTCTATAGGCTCAAGATGTGACCTGGTGACATTCTTAGCTTTTGGATGGTGGAAGTTAGTGTTTTGCTCAGTTAATAGATTCCAAAACATTTTTATTAATTTGCTAGATGATGATCAAACAAACAAGTAGGCAAGGAAGATTTCTCGAGGATTAGAACTAGCCCAAGTTAAGGTAATTAGCCTCTGGACATGTTATATTCCAATTTCTCCAGAGTACTGTAGTTCTAGTCAACCAATCTGTCTCTGTAGACACAGCTTCTTTCCCAGAACTTCTCATACAACCACAACTGGTCAAAATGCAGACAACAACTGATAGTGGAGTGCCCACCCCAGTAGATACATCCACAACAGAACTACTGTAACTAAGGCTCAAGGAATAACAGGCTCAAGGAATATGACCGAAGTGTTAGAAAGGCTGTTAAAAGCCAGAGGAGCAGTAAGTCAGCTGAGACTGTGTCTCCTAGAAATGACAGGGAAGCTACACCCATGACACCTCAACATGGCTGGCAAAAATGTCTTGAGGAAGTACACCCATAGATATGGTAGAAATCTCACAGGGTCCCAGTCCTAGACAAAGAACTACATAACTAAGGATGGTTGAGAGAGGGAGAGTTAGTCTTCTGCAAGGATGAACTCCTGATTGTGTTATCCAATACTAAGCAACACTAAAAAGATACAGACACGCACACACACAGCAAATATCTAGTGAGAACTTTCATGTCCCTGCCTGCTGTCTTGTAGAAATCCTTTTATACACAAAAGCCCAATGGAAATTGAGTCGGGTTCTCCAGGCCAAGTGTTACCTGTTCTTGCTGTTGCCTTCACATGGAGTGGTTATAGCACATGTAACACTGCATTATACTTTAAGACATTCTAGCTTGTGATCAGTAAATAATTTACAGTTATATCAGGTGATGAAGACAGAACTGACTAAGAATTACAATAGAATGAAGTTTTCTAGAAGAAATATAAAGCATATGTTAGTTATTCTGGGTGTTTCAGACATACACTGTTACGATAAATCTTTCCAACAAGCTGCCAGAGCCCTGCCATCACATTGGTGCCCAAAATAACACACCTAGTCTTATATTAATTACAATGCTGCTGGCCAATGACTAGGATTTCTTACTTGCTAGCTCAGTCTTAATTATCAACCATAACCATTAATCAATATATTTTATAAAGACTTATCTTACTGAGGACACCAGCCATATGCACCCTCTCTGGCCAGTGGTCACATGGCGACTCCAGAGAAGAGAAAGGGAGGAAGAGAGTGATTTCCTGCTTGACCCCTTATATTCTGAATCAGCTTGCTATGTCACTTTGAGCCTGGATCACAAGACTTCTTTTTACTACATTTCCCAGAATCCTCCTCTACTCCTAGTCCCAACTAACTTGCTTCTCTATTGGCCAACAGTACTTTATTTATCAACCAATAAGACAAACATATACACAGAAGGACTTCCCACATAAATACACTCAATAAAATATCCCCATTCTATTCATTACTTTTCATATAATTTTCTCCAAAACACTACAGAGACCTGTTTTCCCTCTCCTTTTTCCTATGTATTAACAAAGTGCTAGTGATATGAAGAACAGTGCAGTGACAGTAGATAAAAATCTTTAATATAATGACTTGTTCTGCTTTCTCTTGGGCATTCAACCAAGCTTTGTATAAAATAACCTTGTCTATTGATATGTTTTACATAAAAGAAAGACACACATACAATGTATGGTAAAATATGGCATGTCAAAAATATCAGTAAACTATTATTGGGAGAAATTAAAAGAAGAAAAGCTTCAAAATGGCTCTTAAACTTTACTAGTAACAAGTATAAGCTAAAATTTAAAGTAGTATGTCACCCCCCTCAAAAAAAATGTTTCCTCTAAAGTAGGAATACACAGGACAAGAAAGGAAGAAATGCTGTGAGAATAAAGGGAATGGTAACTTTTATTTTGCCTTATATATTAATGAGATTATTTCACACTGCTTGTGAAATGTCTTTCTGAGCTAAATCTCAGTTTGATGCCAATGAACCAGGAATTAAAACTTTGGAAAATTCCTGAATACAGTAAAGGAAGATCTACCTGCTTCTCACTGCTAGGTATTCCCCCTGGTCAAGAGACTTGCTACTTAGATGAAAGCATGCTGTATACATGTTGGACCACATGAGGCAAAACAAGAAAGGAATAAAGTACAATCTGTAAATTAACAACTTACCAGTAATAAATACCTGGGATTTCCTCTCATTTGATTCAAGCTGCATGCCTTGTACTTCATGAAGACATGTAAATAATTAAAATATAAACTAACAGCAAGCATGTCATTGATCTTATTTCTTAATGAGGAGTTGGTCCTATCAGCATATTCACAAGTATTTTACTTCCTCACCCAAAGCCACTCAGGTAAACAGCAATTTTTGCTTTTAAAATTATACATTACTAAGACAATGAAAGCAATAAGCTGCAATTACTTGCAATTCAATGTATAGATCCACCTGTGTATCAATAGAGAGGACACCATGCCACAAATAGATGCAGAAGATGGTCAACAGGTTTTGGTGAATTTTAGAAACACAGGGTTTCATTTCCCTGGAATAATGACCTAGACACTTAAAATCTCTTTTCAAACCTCATCTCAATGCTCAGGCCTATAAACAGTTAGTTTTAAAAACTAACCTGTAAGTGAACAATTGGAAGAGTTCCATCTCACCCTGGAAGAAGGAAATTATTTCAACATTTTCCAGTACAGGCTTTATAACTATAATGATATCAAGGGCTGAATTTTCCTAACAGCTACACCTTTGTCATTTAGACCAATAAAATGTATCTCTATGTTCAATTTGTGACTAGTGAAATTCCAAGTGGGAAAATAAAATGGAGATTAAACTAGTGGGTCTTTGAACCCTAAATTTATGTGTGCTATTTCATCGTCCATGCAGAAGAAATATACTTTTGTCTCACTGTATACATCATATATTTTCCACTTCCATTAACCTCCCATTAGAGAAAAATTATTTAAACACACACACACACACACACACACACACACCCACACACACACACACACACAAACACACAGACACACACAAACACACACACACACACACACAAACACACACCCCTACCTAGGTGAAGATAATCAATGCAGAGTAAAACCAATACTTTGCAATTTAACAGTCAATAGAAAGAGAAACTTATAACCTATAGATAATTCAGTATAACAGAAAATACAGTACAACAGGAAGTAATTACATGGGAATTAGACAAATTAGTTTTAAAGTTAATGCATTTTAAGTCTTGATATTTAATCCCAGAAAAATAGCAAGTTGTTAGCATGCATCTCTTTTTGAAAACCTTGTATTTTAAAGGATACTCAGTACCAGAATGATGTGTGACTCTGCCACAAACTGAGCCTGGCTGCTCCCATGAATGTAGCTCTGTAAATGAAGAAAATAAACAAAAAGTCACAAAGAGGGAAAAGTAACTGTTTCACAGTTTTGTCAGGCATATAAGCTATTCAGTCATCTACCAACTGAGTTGCTAGTTATGATTCTTTTGAATAAATTTTAGTTAACTGGCAATAGGTTAGAGTTGTAATGATGTTATTATAAAATGTAGAAAACAACTTGATACAAGTCATCTCACATGTATAAACTTTACTTCTTAAAATGCTACCACATACAAACATAAGCAATGATTCTACTGGAGTTCCTTATAAAGACACTGGACAGAGTAAGGTAACAATCAAGCAAGCAAGTTTTCTGTTTCTCATTTTTTGAAATTGCCCTGCACAATGTCTAGCAATTCTTTGCCACATCACCAACATTTGGAGTAAGGAATTAGTCTTAGAAAGGCCCAGATGTCACTAACCCTGAAGCACTATTATGATCCCTTATGAAGGTTGGTGGCTTCTGAAGTGGCCTTATTATTTTTCATATTTTTGGTTAGTACACAACACAGTAGATTTCAAATCAACCTTGTCATGCATATGTTATTGTGCTATGTTCTTACAAGCCATTGCAAATGCCCTTTTTTGACCTCTCCACCTCCCCATGGCTACTGCCCCAAAATAATTAGTTCCCTTTTCCGGGTAGTTGATTTAAATGATAGTCCTTGTCTAGGTTTTTTGTGTTGAAGAAAAAAAAATACATCATCATGTAATACAAATAAGAATCCTAATTTTTATATCATATATAGTCCATAATTGTATTAATTGAGTTCCAAGAGGTCCTGCAATTTATTTTGTTCAATTTTTGTCTTGTTTTTAATGAAAAACACACTTAACTAGGAGTCAGATTATTCCTTCCTAGTGCTATCCATCCTTGGCTAAGTTATAAAAAAAATCTAGTATTTTCTCATCAGTAAAACTCTAAGATACCCTCTTAAGGTCTTTTTTGAAGTAAAGTCTACATTTTTGTCATGAATGTTGTTTTTGGTACTCTATTCTAATTTTTCCAGTATTTAAAAAAAATGTTGTATGTGTGTATGTGTGCACGCACACAGTGTGTTGGGGAGGGGGTAGGGGAACCACATATCAGGGCAAACTTGTGCAAGTCAAAGGACAATTCTGTGGAGTTAGTTCTTTTTTTTCACCTTTCTTGGAGTCCAGGATTCAAACTCAGTTCACTAGTCATGCTCTGCAAATGCTTACTTGCTGAGCCATCTTGTCTACCCCAGATTTTCAAGTAGTTTTTTTTTTTTTAATTCTTCTCTCATACATTACTGTCCAACTTCAGTTTCCCCTCCTGCTATTCCTTCTAGTCTCCCGACCTCCCCTCTCCACCAGATACACCCCCACCCCGGTTTCCATCTGTTTCTACCTCTCATTCTAAGTACTTCCTAGAAGAGCTGCCACATCTGTAGGTGTCTTGTTGTGTTCAGATATTCTTTAAGCAGTCTCAGGAAAGTCCTAGCATTAGTCACTTCTAATTCATTCATAAGATTGCTTCTTAAATCCTATCATTTATATTCTTTAATATTTAATATCCTTACATGGATACGACCATAATTTTCAAAAAGACAATCTAACTGCTAATCATGTAAGACGAATCCTCACTAATGCATGACAAAATACATGTATTATGACTAATATGTGGTCATTATTAAAAGAAAAACAGTCAAGCAAATAAAATACGAATTATATTTAACAGAAAGTCTGACTAGAGCTAAGACTCACAGAACCACCAAAGAGCAAGGTTTTATTCTTTCATTAATTTTATCATAAGGATAATAACAATTATATCCTTAATAGTATACTAATAGGTACTACCTTATAAACTACTCATTCTGTCTAAGGCACTTAAGAATTCTACCTGATTTTGCTCTCCTCTATTCTTCCCCCTGCCTGCTCCCTTATGTCCTCCTCATCCCTCCTCTTCTCCCCTTCTTATAATCCTAGCTCCCTCTCCCATCCTCCCATGCTCTGGTTTAGAGAGAAATCAGGCACTAGAGAAATGTCCAGAGATCTACAAGGATGGCACCAATAACAATCTAAGCAACAGAGGAGAGGCTATCTTAAATGCCCTCCCCTGATAATTAGATTGATAACTAACTTATATGCCCTCCTAGAGTCTTCATCCAGCAGCTGATCGAAGTAGAAGCAGATACCCACAACTAAACACTGAACTGAACTGGAATCCAGTTGCAGAGAAGGAGGAGTGATGAACAAAGGGGTGAAGACCATGCTGGTGAAACCCACAGAAACAACTGATCTGAACAAGGGGGGGAACTCTTGGTTACAGACTGATAGCTGGGAAACCAGCATAGAACTTATCCAGAGCCCCTGAATGTGGGTGTCAGCGAGGAGCCTCGGAATCTATGGGGCCTCTTGTAGTAGATCAGTACTTATCCCTTGTACAGGAATGGATTTTGGGAGCCCATTTCACTTAGAGGGATACTTCCTCATCTTAGACACATGGAAGAGGGCTAGGCTCTAACACAAAGGATATGATAAGACTCTGAAGACACCCCCCCCATGGAAGGCCTCAACTTCGATGGGGAGCAGAAAGGGTATGGGATAGGTAAGGTGTTAGTGGGGGGCAGGGAAGGAGGGGAGGGAGAGGAAACTGGGATTGACATGTAAAACAATCTTGTCTCTAATTTAAATTTAAAAAAAATTGAGAAAAAATTCTACCTGAAGCATGAAGAGCAATTTTAAAAGCTCTATAATGTACAATGATTTATTACAGCCATTTTATAGATGAGAGGTGAAAAAAATCTCCAGGTTTTCATAAGCTTTGGGAATTGAACTTTGGTCTTTGTGATTCAAAACTTGGGCCTTTATTCTACCATAGTACAATGTCATTTACTGAATACGTGATAAGAATGTATAATTTCCTACTTTAATCTTTTAACAACCAAATAAAATAGTTATTACCTGTCATCTCCTTGTGATAAAATGGAACCTAGAAATTTTTTGCTCAACATTTTACAACTAGTAATTATCTACATTATATCAACAAAGTTTAATTTTTTTAGAATTAATCCTAACTTGGCAATCAGATAAGCAATTGTTGAAACTTAAAGGAATTAAAGTCAGTATTTATATAACTGCCTAAAATAACTGAATGTATCAGCTTAGGATAATATGCCCAAACTTATGTAACAATTGCAAGGCACTATGTCTATTTTAGAATAAAATGAGAAGTGCAGGCATTTTTAAGCAAGAAGTTTCCAAAGTCTCCTGCTTGTTCTAAGCAACATAATCTTCTCCCATAAAGCTTCCCTAAGGGTCGGTAGCAGTCCCACTGCTAAGCCCCATGGTCATTTCTCAATTTCACTTCACTTAATCCTTTTGGGACTGCTTGCTTGGATCACCCTCTCCTCTTTAGTGACCGTCTCCACTCACTCTTAGGTTGCCACTCTTGATTCTGCTACTTCCCTGGGTCCTCATCCTTGATGCTCATGGCAGTCCCTGCCCTCTAATAGTCACCTAACTCCAAACTCCAGGGTGTCTCAGATATTCATAGGTTTGGGCATCTCTTCTGTACTCCCAAAGCATTCTCACCAACCCACATACTTCAACTGTTAACTTTGTATACATAGCTCTCACATTTGCTTTTAGACTGATAAGAAATCCAGTTCTGTGGTGATAATATTATTTATGATTTATTAAAGCTTGCCTGAATATTCAGAAAGCAAAGTCAGCCTCAAACTATAGAGATCAGCCAGTGGTGATACACACCTTTAATCCTAGGACTCAGGATTAAGAGGTTGACAGATCTCTGTGAGTCCAAGGCCACCCAGATCTACACAAGATTGATCCAGTCCTAAAGAGAAACAGCTCACACAAAGATGACCTCAGCACATGGGATCACCCAGTTTTATTGCCAACACTAGAGGGGTATAAAAGATAGGAGCAGGCTCTTCAATAGTCAGTATCAGGGACTCATTCTCCAGCCTCATTGAGGATAGGAAGACATTGGAGTCTCAGAATTCTCCAGCCACATGAGGAGAGGGAACAGTCTGAGGTTTGGTGGAGCCAGGATGGCCTTTCAGCCTGTGGTAGGGTAAGAGCTAGTGACCAGCTGCTTTTCTGAACTTCAGCTTGAAGCGTGAAGCCCAATATCAGTCTCTGGGTCTTTTTTTTTTTTTTTTTTTGTCTGTGTGTACATAGTACTACTTCTATCAACTATCATTAACAGATCCCACTTTGGAGGTCTGAAACTTAAAAAGGGCTAAACAAACTTTTGATACATTTTTGTTTGTATTGCTTTCTCTCATCTTAGGGAACAACTTGATTTATCCAATTGTTTAGGCTTAACATTGAAATCACCCATGCATCCTTTCCCCTTCTCCACTCCTCTGTCCCCATTCATCCAACTATTCAGAAACTAGCATGGACTCTACTTTAAAGTCATTCCCAATTCAGTATTTGTTAGTACTTACAGGAGAACTGGCAAAGGTGCCTAAGGAAATGAGCCTAAGATTTACTGTCAGTCAAGTAATCATCACCTTGTGCTGAGTTTACAGCAAAGATGTCTTTATTTTCTTCGACTCTACCCTAACAGTCTATTTGTCAGTCAGATTAACCTTGTTACAGCACACCAGATCCTATCATTACCTTGCTCAGAATCCATCAATGCTTCCAAAATGTGTGCAGGAAATCTTACCACAGAATGCACTGTTTCCAGTCTCAATACCAAAGACTGTGTACTGAACTCCAACTTGTATGTACAACTGTAGTACAGAGAATGAGAGAGAAAGACAGAGAGAGAGAGAGAGAGAGAGAGAGAGAGAGAGAGAGAGAGCAAACAACATAAACCAAATACATGTACTTGGGTCTTAGAGTTAAGAATTCGTAACAGAAATGTAGATGCTGAGGCCTACAGAGAACATTATGAATCTGCAACTAGCCATGCACCTTTCCATAAGCAGGTCAACTAAACTCAATAATTTCAATTTTAGGAAAAAAACAGGAGAATTAGTATTCCTTAATAGATTAAATATAAGAATAATAAATAT